ATTAAAAATCCAGAAAACTGGCACTAAGATCTCAGCGATTGAAAATTTATTGAAAGGGCAAAGGAGCAGATGCAGAACAATGGAGGGCCAAATTAGTGAGCTTGAAGAGAAATCTCTCTAGTATGCTAGAAGAGCAATGAGAAAATAGAATAAAAATATCCAAAGAAAGCCTTAGAGTTATGTTAGACACCAAGAAGAGGAACAATTTAACAGGTGACTGGAATTCCAGAAGAGAAAGAGAAAACACAGAGAAAATTGTAGATGAATTGTCGGAAGAAAACGTCTCTAACATCAAGAAAGACATGAAGATAAGCATACAAGAAGCTGAACGAACTCCAAACAGGATAGATCCCAAGACAAAATCACCAAGACGTATCATAATCAAACTTTCCAAAATCAAAGACAATGTAAGAATTCTAAGAACAGCTCTAGAAAAATGAAAAGTTATCGATAAAGGAAAACCAGTAACACTCAGATCTGATTTCTCAGAAGAAACTGTGCAGGCAACATAATGACAGACACAACTCTGCAAGAAAAAGAATACCTACCAAAAATCATATTTCCAGCAAAGCTGACCCTCGACTGATTGGAAGAGATCCATATTTGTGCCCGTTCCGAAAAAGGTGACTCAATGGAATGTAAAAATGATTGGAAAATTTCATTATTATCACAGCAAGTAAAATTTTGGTAAAGAACATTCAAAAACAGCTACAGCCGTACATAGACAACAAGCTGCCAAAGGTTCAAGCCAGATTCAGATAAGGACGTGGAACGAGGGATATTATTACTAACATCAGGTAGATCTGGGCTGAAAGGAAACAATACCATAGAGATGTTTATTGTTGTTGTTAAGTGTCATCGACTTAGTTCCGACCCATAGCGACCCCGTATAGGGTTTCCAAGGAGCCAACCTTGCAGTTCAAATGACTTCGAAGTCTAGCACATTAACCCACAGTGCCAAACCAAGACCCCATAGAGATGTTTACCTGTGCTTTACTGACTTTGCAAAGGCTTTTGACTGTGTGAGTCATGACAAGCTATAGACAAAATTATGGAGAATGAGTATTCCAGAATTGTGTTCATGAGGAACCTGTACATAGACCAAGAGGCAGTTGGGAGAACAGAACAAGGGGACATTGGATGGTTTAAAATCAGGAAGGTGTGGGTCAGCTTGAAAGAATTTTCACTGTTCTTACTCAAACTGTATGCTGAATAAATAATCTAAGAAACTTGAAGAAAAACATGGCATCTGGATTGGAGGAAGATTTACTAAACATCCTGCGATATGCAGATGATCCAACTTTCTTGCTGAAATTGAAGGGGACTTAAAATATTTACTGATTAAGATCAAAGATCACAGCCTTCAGTGTGGGTTGCATCTCAATGTAAAGAAAACAAAAATCTTCACCATTGGATCAATAAATCACATCAAGATAAATGGAGAAATGATTGAAGTTGTGTAAGACTTTTGCTTGTATCTAGATGAACACTCATGAAAGGAGCTGCCAACAATTCAAATGACATACTGCATTAGGCAAATCTGCTGCACACAACCTCTTTAAAGTGTTCAAGAGCAAAGATGTCAGCTTGATGACTAAAGTGGCCTCACCCAAGCCACAGTATTTTCAATAACCTCATATATATGTGAAAATTGGACAATAAATAAAGAAGAGTGTAGAATAATTCATGCATTTGACTTCTGGTGTTAGCGAAGAATATCACACGTACACGGACTGCCAGAGAACAAACAAATCTTTGTTGGACAAAGTACAACCATAGTGCTCCTTAGCAGTCAAGACAGCCATACTTCGTCTCTCATACTTTGGACATATTATCAGGAGGGACCAATCTCTGGAGAAAGACATCATGCTTGGTAACGGGATAGTGAAAAATAAGGAGACCCCCACGAGATGGATTGGCACAGCGGCAGTAACAATAGGCTCAAATGTAGCAGCAATTATAAGGATGACAAAGGACTAGGCAGTGTTTTGTTTTGTTACATAAAGTCGCTATGGGTAGGAACCAACTAAACAGCACCTAACAACAACATGAGGAAAATACTGAATGATGCAAAAAACATCAAGAGAAGAAAGAAGGAGGTTCACTGGGAAGCCATCAAGGCAAGCAATCAAGTCCCTTCAGGACAAACCCCCCTCCAAGACTGAAACTCAAAGGGAACACATGAGCAGGCATGTAAGCTTGCTACTAGTGAGTGAAAGAGGGAGAGAGACAGCAATAAAGAAATGGGCTGAGTTCACCCATGTTCCATAGACTCTCACTGACTATGGAACGGGTGAGAGATGAAAGAGAGAAGAGGAAGGACTGATTGGTCCGAAGTATGGTGAGACCTGGAGACTCCTGAGCCCATGGACAAGGACATAGCCACGGAGGGTTAGAGCTGAGAGTGAAGCAAGCATTCAGCTGATATGAAGGGAGGGGAGACGCAAAAGAATGCCTAAACTTGCAGATAGCACCCATTTGACTTAGCCTTGATGGCTTGATAAGCAGAACTCAACTAGAGATTAAAAAAAAATACATTTTTGATACAGGAAACAAGTGTAAATTGCTACAATTTGATGAACTTGACCTATACTTATGGATGTAGTAGCTCAAAATACCAATTGAGAGGGAAAGAGTCTTTATATGAAGTATCAATGCTATACCCTCTGTACACAAGGTAGATAGGAACAGGCAATTTACACATTGGCTACCTAAAATGAGGGGGTGATAAAGGCACAAAGTGACTGGCTTACAAGTTTTCAAGAGTTAGTTTAGTTTAAGAATGTGCCGGAGAAGATATAGAGTCCCCACTGAATAGTTTTCATCTTGTCTAGACGGCTCTGGTGAAAAGAGATGGGGATAAGATTCTTATGATTCAATAGTAAGTAATTGTTATCCTGACTAATTATGACTGTCACAGTTGTAAAGGTAAAAGATTCATAACAAAAATGGGGGAGTACTTAATCTTACAGTCCAGAAACAGAGGACCCTAGGACCATCAAGGGAGAAGAGCACAAGCGGAATGCAGGACCCTATCGAGAGAAACAGCAACACCAGAGATTGAGGTAGAGATGGAGACATGGAGAGAGGGAACAGCTGAGGACTCTAGATTCATGGAAAGAGAGAGACTGAGTGCTGGTGGCCAGGAGGAAGGCTTGCAGAATGTGCCCTTTGGTGGTTTAAATTATTATATATTCTTGAGTGTTTTTGTGTGCATCCTCCCATTCACCACCCCCAAAAAACAAAAACAAAAAAACAGAAGAAATGGAAGCAAATACTGTTGAATGATGATGCATGGAGAAGATTGTAATCATCGCAATGAAATGATGATGGTGTAAAGCCTATGTTCTCCCATGTAAACTATCACTCAGTTCACAATTAAAAAAAATTTTTTTTTTTAAATCTCCTATTTAAAAAAAAAGACAGAAGGAGTACACAGAGTTACTGTACCAAAAAGAAATGGTTGATGTTCAGCATTTCAAGAGGAAACATATGATCAAGAGCCAATGGTACTAAAAAAAGAAGTCCAAGGTGCGCTGAAGGCATTGGCAAAGAACAAGGCTCCAGGAATTGATGGAATATAAATTAAAATCTTTCAACAAAATGATGTAACACTGGAGGCGCTCATTTATCAGTGCCAAGAAATTTGGAAGACAGCTACCTGGCCAACTGTCTAGAAGAGATATGCCAATTCTAAAGACAGGTGACCCAGTAGAATGTGGAAGTCATTGAACAATATCATTAGTAACACATGCAAGTAAAATTTTTCGGTAGATAATTAAAAATGGCTGCAACACAACATTGACGGGGAATTGCCAGAGGTTCACGCCATATTCAGACAAGGATGCAAAATGAGGGCTATCATTGCTGACATCAGATTAATTTAGGCTGAATGCAGAGAATACCAGAAAGATGTTTACCCGTGCTTTACTGATAATGCAAAGGTTTTCAACTGTGTATCATGACAGGCTATGGACAACATTGTAGAGAATGAGTATTCCTGAACATTTAATTGTGCTCATGAGGAACCTGTATATAGACCAAGAAGCAGTCGTTTAAGCAGAACAAGGGGACACTGGGTGGTTTAAATCAGGAAAAGTGTGCACGAAGGTTGTATCCTTTCACCATACTTATTCAGTCTATATGCTGAGCAAATAATCCTAGAAATTGGGTTATATGAAGAAGAACACAGAATCAGGATTGAAGGAAGACTCATTAACAACCTGCAATATGCAGATGATACAACGTTGCTTGCTGAAAGCAAAGAGGACTTAAATACTTATTGATATAGATCAAAGATCTCAGCCTTCAGTATGGATTGCCCTCAATGTAAAGAAAATAAAAATCCTCACCACTAGACCAACAAATAGCATCATGTTAAATGGAGAAAAGACTGAAGTTGTCAAAGACTTCATTTTGCTTGGATCTTCCATCAACCCTCATGGAAGCAGCAGGCAAGAAATCAAACGACATACTGCTTTAGGCAAATTTGCCTCCCAAGACCTCTTTGAAGTGTTCAAGAGCAAAGATGTTAATTTGAGGACTAAGGTGCCCCTGACCCTTCTTTTAGCTTCATATGCATGGGAAAGTTTGACATTGAATAAGGAAGATATAGAGGAATTGATGCATTTGAGTTATGTTGTTGGAGAAGAATATTGAAAGTACCATGGACTGCCAGAAGAACAAACAAATCTGTCCTAGGAGAAGTATAGCCAGAATGCTCCTTAGAATCAGACTGGCCAGACGCCATTTCTCAGAATTTGGTCATATTGTCAGGAGGAACCAGTCCCTGGAGAAAGACGTCATCATGCTTGGTAAAGTGAAGTGACCCCTGGTGTGTCGCTGTAGGATAAGCACTGGACCACATCAACCCACAAAATAACTCAACAACACAAAATAACTCAACAAGACAAAAACGTAGATTTGCTCAGAATATGTTGAAAATCAGCACTATTTACTTAGTACAGAGTCAGGGGTCAGTGGCACGGCGTGGCCCTTACCTGTGGACAACCCCAGCCCGGTGCAGATGCTCTACGGCAGAGATGAGCTGCCGGATATATCTGCGGGCTTCAGACTCCTCCAGCCGTTTCTTCTCATAGATCTTATGCATCAGATTGCCACCAGGACAAAGCTCCATGACCAGGTAGTAGCTGTTTTCAGTTTCTAAGATATCGAGGAGCTGGGTAATGTTGGGATGGCGGATCATCTGCTGAATCTGCCCCTCGCGTCTCAGGTTTTTGGTGACATAGGTGTCCTTTTTGGCTCTCTTCTTATCTATGACTTTTATAGCCACCTAAGGAGAAACAAAGAACATGGCTATTATCACACACTGCAGACAAAGGTCACTGGCTTGACTGTCAACAAGAACTCTAGGAAAACACACAGGGACAGCTGTGCACTGGGAGAAAAACCTTCAATATACTTATGAAGGTAAGTATATTGAATGGAAAAAAAGTCCCCGTGTGGTACAAACAGTTCAATACTCAGCTATGGGTCGGAACTGACTCTATGGCACTTAACAGCAACAAACAACAACTGACCAAAAAGTTGGCAGTTGGAAATCACCTAGAGGAAAGGTCTGGAAATCTACTTCCAAAACATCAGACATTGAAAACCATATGAAGCACAATTCTACTCTCATGGGCCACTATGAGTCAAAACCAACTTAATAGCAACTGGTTTGGCTTTTTGTTTTTTTTGCTTTGCTTTATTTTGTTGGTTTTTTTAAGGGAAAAGAAGGGGGGATAACATAAGGGTTAAAAAAGTCAAAATATTCCATTATTAAGAGAAAGCAGGAAGTTTTACTTAAGCAAACTTGAATGGCCGTCTGGAAGGTTCAGCAAAGTTTTAATGTTAAGCTTGGTTCTAGGGAAGTGAGCTGTGAATATCAAGTCCTCCTGAAGCCCTTTGAGACCTCATCACCATCCTGTCTAGGTTTGGTCCCACCCCACAGGTTCCACCTTCTGAAGCAGCCAAATCTGCCCCATCTGAATCAGTGCTAGGACAGGGCTAGAAAACTGGGGGAGGTAATTCCCAAAGATGCTGCATCACTGGTCTTCCTCTCAGTCTTTTCTCTGCCTTCAACCGGGCCCTGACACCAGGCTGGACCCAGAATGTTTACTCTTTCCATTGGTAAACTGTTGTTAGTTGCCATCCAGTGAACACCAACTCATGGCAACCTCGTGTATGATAGAATGAAATACTGCACAGTCCTGCAACATCTTTGTGATGTTTGGTATGGTCACTGTGTATTCTAAGTGCCTTCCAAACGTGGGGGCACAGTGGTCTAAGCATTCAGCAACTAACTAAAAGGTCAGTGGGTTGAACCCCGCCAGTGGGAAGAACAATGTGGTAGTCTGCTTCTATAAAAATTTTCAGCCTTGGAACCCCTATGGGAAGGTTCTACTACTTTGTCCTACTGGGTTATTATGAGTCTGAACAGACAGTCGTAGGTTTGGTTTTTGGTTTTTCCAATGATGGTTTCATTTTCCAGCATGACATCAGACATCTGTCATGGTTCATAATTTTTTATTGGCCACTTTAGAGAAATAAATCACCAGACCTATACCTTCCTAGTGTTTTATTCTGGAAGATCCACTGAAACCTGTCCCCCATGGATGACCCTACTGGTATTTAAAATACAGATAGCATAGCTTCCAGCATCACAGCAACAAACAAGCTACCACAATACGACAGACAAGCTGACAGATAGCTGGTGGTGGAGGTTATGTGGTAGAGATACATATTTTTGTGCATACGTGTATATGGGAGGAGGGAAGAATACTGAAAAGTACAATCAGGCTATTGCCTCTGCTTGACTGTTGCTTTTTAAAAAAAATTTAATTATACCCTTTGGCAATGAAATTCTTAAGGTACAAAGAATAAACAAGTGTCTAAAAGCCCAGTGGTAATATGATCTCCTCCTTTTAATAACACACAATTACACTGTTGTTGTTGCTGCTAAGTACTGTCCTGTAAGCTCTGACTCATAGCGACCCTGTACCATGTGTCCAAGGAGCAGCTAGTGGGTTTGAACCACCAACGTTATGGTTCACACTCCAGTGCTGCTTCTATAGTACCACACCAGGATAATTTATTTAGCTCTTCAATTGTATAGCCACCTATGGCCATACAACACATCACATCCTAACCCCCGGAACAGAAATGTGACCTTATTTGCAGAAGGGTCTTTGCAGATGTTATTAAATTAAAGATCTTGAGATGAGATATCCTAGATTATGAATAGTGAGGGAAGCAGTAGGCTTCTGAAAAGATTTACAGCCTTGGAAACTCTATGCGGGCAGTTCTACTTTATCCTAGAGGGACTCCATGAGTCGGAATTGACTCAATGTCAAATATTTTGGTTTCATTGTTTTTTTAATCCACATGGGTCCTATATGCAACCATACATGCAAAATAGGCAGAGGGAAGGCAGACAGCCACTCAGGGGAGGACAGGTGAAGAGGCAGAGCTGGAGTGATGTGGTCAAGCAATGACCGAAGCCATCAAAACCAAAGAAGCCAGGAAAAATTCCTTCCCAGTGGCTCCAGGAGCAAACGCGGTCCTTCTGGTCCTTTGGTTTCAGATTTCTGAAACTCTTGGCTTTCAGAACTGTGATAAACTGAATTTCTGTTGTCTGACGCCACCAAGTTTGTAGTCATTTGTTACAACAGCCACAAGAAACTAAACCATTGCCCTTATAAGGGAAAAAACAAACAAGGAATCTATCTTACGTAGCTCCTCCAGAGCACTTTTCTCAGACATCATAAGATCCTCCTTGGCAGTAAAATAATAAAACTTGGGGTTATCTGTGGCCTCTCGCTCTGTGCTCCTTTACTCTTGCGTTCACGGCAGATTCGGGGGTTCTGACCATTCCTATTTAACCCTTACCCTCTGCTCTGTTTGCCCCACGTCCATAGGTGGCCCGTGGGGAGAAGAGTCACTGGTGGCTCCATCCGAAGAGCTTAAGTTTTATACCTCCAAAAGGGTCTCGTGGGAAGCTCGTGATTGGTAAGCAATGCCTATGCAATGTGGACACCTCTGAATGGGAAGGAGAAAAGGATGGCTCTTTCCATGAGGTTGGACCACTATTATATCACATCCACAATTTCATGATTAGATTCGATATGCCAGGCATGTGCGGTGCTCACCAGGTCCTTTCTGAGGGTTGGTTTTCCTCTATTTTTCCTCAGCTACTGAATAAACCCAATGTTTCCAAACCTTTCTCCCAGCTTCTCTCATTTCTTATTCTTCCTCTGGTCCAGTTTCCTCTTTCCCAAAGGTGAGAAGGACAAGGCAATGGTATGACCTGAACGTTGAGGAAACATCACAATCCCTGGCCCTCACAGCAATCAGGCTGTGTGCTCGGGTGGTCTTCCAGTCCTTCTTCTGAAAACAGCCCAGGTCTACGGCCTCTTGGCCGCCAAGTTCTGCTTATTTGGAGAAAGCTACTGAGCCCTGAGAACTCCTCAATAAAAACCATAAATGCTTATTCAATATATTCATGAAATGAGTAGACAAAACAAAAGTAGATGGGTGTAGTCAGGTGAGCAAGCAGATAATGGAAGCAAGAGTTAGAATGGCTTCCCTCCACCAAGAGAAGAATGAAATTAGTCATAAGGCCATTTGCAAAAAATATAATAAAAACTAAGCAAATCTACCTTATCAGCATGAGTTAGCAATATTCATACCATCAAGATAAGTTAGGAATCAGTGACCAACTTTTCAAAACAAAAACTATGATTAACCAATGAAGGCAAAGGGAAAAATACTGAACTGTTCTTTAAAGGGATGTTGTAACTGTAAATTCAAGCCCCCTCACCATTTTCAGTTTGTGATGCTCCCTGATCTTGAACAGTCTCTCACTCAACAAACCCCACTAACTCTGACTCTTTTGGACACCCTTAAACTGCCAAAACCTGTAAGAGATTTCCTTTGAAGTGCTTAGTTTTCAGTACTAATATATAACAGAAACACCACAAGTAGATGTCTTTAACAAACAGAAAATTATTTTCTCACAGTTTGTTGCTGTTGTTATTAAGTGTTATTGAGTCAGTTCTGACTCATAGCAACCCTGTATAGGGTGTCCAACGAGAGGCTGGTTAATTTGAATCACAGACCTTGTGTCTCACAGTTTAGGAAGGTAGAAGTCGAAATTTAGGGCAATAACTCTAAGGAAAGACTTTCTCTCTGTGTTGGTTCACAGTTAAGGAGGAAGGGCCTTGTTTCCTTTCAGCATTAGTGGCCCTGGCTTCCCTTGGGGATCTCCATATGTCTTGACTTCACCTTCCCTTGGGTCAAGGAAGTTCTCAGCAGAGAAACCCTGGGTCCAAAGAATGAGCTTACTACCTGGCTTTTCTTTCTTGGTGGCAGTAGGTCGCTCTGATCTCTACTCACTTGTTTAATTTCATATTTCAAAAGAGATTGACTCAAGATATAATCTAATCATTCTAATTACAGCCTGCCTTATTAATGCTTCTAATTCTGCTTCATTGACATCAGAGAGGTGAAGATTTTCAACACATCGGATATGTACATCAGATCTCAGAATGGAGGATCATTACATAATACCGAGAATCATGACCCAATCAAGTTGACACAGACTTTGAAGGGACACAATCTAACCTACCACAAGCCTCCTCTCCATTTTCAAACACCAGCTCACCAGCAGGCTTGTTCTCACTCACCTCCTACATGTACAAGCAAAGAGTATATCAAATTTAATTTCACAATAATCAGAGATTTACAGGCAAAGAAGATCTACTTCACCGGAGTAAATGAAGCACAGTGAATGGATGGGACTTCAGCTGAAAACCGCTTTAGTCACGAGCGTTTGAAAGAAAACCTTCCTCTTTAAAAAATAAAATTGGACCCAATTCTCCCCGGATATCTGTATCAAGATTTACTCTACCCTGGTCCTCCCCTGAAGTGCTGATACCAGGGTCCGTTCTGCCCTCCAAGTCCGCCCTCCTCACCGTATGTGCACAAAGATCTGCTCCACCATTGGGCTCCCCACGGGCGCCAGTACAAGGGTCCAAAGTGCCCTTGGTTGGTCAAACTCTACCCACGTCCCCAGACAGTAGCAAGCAGAGCATGGCAAGTCAGGAGCAGGTGAGTATTGCAGGCCACACGTTCAATGTAGTCATGATAAGAGGCAGCATCTCAGGATTGCCTGCTGCCAAACTCTTGGCTGAACACAATGCTAAAGTTTTCATCTTAGAAGCCCAAGATCGAGTTGGAGGAAGAACATACACTGTGATGAACGAGCATGTTAATTATGTAGATGTTGGCAGA